TAAGAGCTTCGTTTCTCAATTAATATGTGAGCATATCCGATTCTCTTATTTTTTTCCAATTTTGTGAGATTATTCCTTGGTGCTCATGTGGGTAGATTTCTCATTTTCGTCAAAAAGGTTTTTGGTCTTTTTTTTATTAAATTAGCTGATCTTTAAAATTCTATATGATCCAACATTCTGATCGTTTATGGGATGTTTGCTTTGAAATTTGTGGATAATTTTGATGCGGATTTGTACTGTATATACAATTGAATGTAATATACGCACACAAGCATATGACCAAACTCGAGGAGGATTATCTTGTAATACGTTTTCTGAAAACTCCAGAAGTCTTTTAACTATCAGCAGAAATTGTCCTTATATGCTCAACTATATTTGGTTCACGCATGGGAGATCTGAGGATTCAGAGCATTTTACCTCTGCCTTTAGTGGTTGCAAAACACAGTTGTTTGAAATGCCATATGCATTGCTCTTACACTACTACACTTATGCGGTGTCTATGTTTGTCAGTGACCCTTACGGGGTTAGGGGTATTGAGAACCTTGTTCTAATGTCCGAAACTGATCCCGTCCCATGTACACTGGTTTGATGTAGTATAATACAAATTACAGAATGCACACAGAGGACAAGGTTTATGCACATTATGGACATACACATTATAAAAGAAGACGGCTCTTGGTACTTCATAATGAACCACCATATAGATGCATGGGCGGAGCTAGTATGCAAAGGTTGGTGTCAATTGACACCACCCTAAATTATATAATTAAAGAAGGATGTGTGAACTTATCAAGCAAAGTGACCTCCGGCTCCTTTGCATAGTGAATAGTGACCCATTAAGTTTTAATGGGCGAAACCTAAAAGTAGATAACCTTAGGACCCATTAACTTAAATGGCCCAATTCACCACATATCAAAGAGCTACCATCAATTTTGAAAAAGAAAAGGCACATAAGTTCACATTAAAAAGGATATTTAGGTGTATTTGCCTATTTGGAATGACACCATTATGCAAAGATTCAAATATGAAGACAGGTAGGGATCAATTGTAATTGTATTTAGTTAAATATATTTTGTATCTCATTAAAGTTCATGATTACATTGAGTGATAGAGAAAAATTAGTAATATCGTCTATTTATATTATTGTGACACCACTAATATGGATTTCTGACTCCACCACTGGGTGGATCCATCAAGGGCGAAGTGATGTCATGTCATGTGACACCACTTTGCCCAAGTAATCTACCTCATTAACAAACATTTTTGGCAAATTGGTGACACATTAGAAATTCATCTTTTCTACCATAGGGAATCCATAGTTTCTACTATAGGCTTGTGTTATCTATTGTTTTCTATTGGCTTTTAATTATACGTCTATATGAAATCGGTTTTGTTACCTATTGAGTTAATTTATAAACTTTTTAATTGCGAATAGACACTGTATTGTCATTAAATTCAACTTGTTATTCCTGTAGTTATCTTATTGCGGGTTAACCCCCCTGAAAGAGTTCTATTGTTGCAGACATAAGCCCTGAGCGAAAAGCTATTGTTGCAGACAGAAGCCCTGAGCGAAAAGCTATTGTTGCACTCAGGGGTCTATCTGCTACAATAGAACTACAGGGGTAGTAAGTTCAATTTGAGCATAGTTCGTGGGGTTTATCTGTAATTAACCCTATTAATTTTATAATGACACCACTTTTTAGAAATCCTGGATCAGCCACTACATAGTTGACCATTTATTTTGACATATTCATCTAAATAAGTCTGGAATGAGAGCTTAAATGGTCTTAGGGCTTCTTTCTTGAGCATCAATTGGGTGAGAAAACTATGTTATTGAACTGTAGGAAAAAGTTGCTAGCAGAACTCCATATTCCATTGCTGGAGTTTACTATTTCATTTTGATATACACCGAATAGTTTTCCATATTTAATAATTTAGCAGTGCTGCAATGTTAGGCCTAGCCCGCTATGATTTTGTCTTTAACAAATCATGTGCTCGTCCAAATTAAAGTGGTAGCTTTGCTGCAGCTTATGGATCCGCTTTAGCAGGTAAATCCCACATTTGTGGAGCTAAGAGGGTTTGGCATAGAAGTGGGCAATAAAGATCCACCAACGCTACTAGCTAGTGTTTATTATTCTTTGTTTCAATGATTATTTTTTGTCAACTATCTTCACAATGTTTGATGTTTAAAATATGCCTCTCCTTTTGACCCTATTGGAAGGCTCATTATTTTCTTCAAAGTTTGTTTTTTCCCCAATCATTTTTTTAGTTTGTTTTGTCAAAATGTCAATTTGTTCATTGTTTCATCTTGATTGAAGGCATATCTTTCTTTTCCTTTGTCATGTATGCAATGTTTTGGTTTGGTCATTTGATCTTCATAAGCTTCTTCGATCTTCATTCAAACGTTTAAATCTTTAGGAGGTTAGGATTAACTGTATCATATAAAAATAATATAGAGCTATTACCTGCGTTTAATATTTATTTTACATGCATTTACTTTTAAAACTTTTATATTTTTAGTGGTATATTTATGTATGTACATGTTGTTAAGTTATATATAATTAATATATATGTGTCTACTCATGTATGTATACATATGGGAGTGTGCTTGTCTGTGTATAGTGTGCTCGTGCACGCGCATGTTAGTGGATGTGGAGATAGGCTCGGTTATTTCTAAAAACGATTTCGGTCAAAGTTTGAAACAAATGATAAAATTATTCATCAAGTGTTTTGAGCTCTTTATCCTGTGCACTTAGTCGGATCAGAGAATGTTTACCAGTTTTTTAAATTTTTTTGATATATAAGTTCGAGCATCCACATTTAAAATCAACATGTTTTAAGTGTGGCAATAGGCTTGTAGGTTGTGAGACAGGTTTGATGGAGATGACAATGATAATGGCAGTCACTGAGGTAAGGGACATTTGGGCTAGTAGCATAGGCAGATCAACACTATGTACATTGATATCAGTCGTGGGAACTTTGCTAGTAGTAATAGTGGTAAAGTTGGAAGCGGCAACTTTTCTAGTGATAATAATGTTGAATGACAATGTCGGGAAAGTTGATGGTTGATGTTGGGGATTGGAATGGCACAGTGGTTATGAGGCACTTGTAGTGGTGGTAGTGAGCACGTGATAGTGGTGGTGACACTGAAGAATCCAAGAACATAAGGAGCATTATTTTTGAATTCCCAGCAAACTTGGTTTTAAGCAAGGCATTGGCAATTTTAGCTTTTGGTAACAACCGTTATTTTAATACATTTAAGGGCTATTGGGTTAGTTTTAGGTTAATAACCATTGTTTTAATACATTTAAGGGCTATTGGGTTAGTTTTAGGTTAAGTCACAAACTTTTATGTAAGTTGAGCTGCACCAACTTGGTATCATTAACATATTCAATTAGTTCCAAGCTATATATATCAACAAATTAGTTTCTATAGTCATTGTTTCTCTTACATTTAGATGTTAAATTTGTTGAGTGTAAATACATGGTGCAGAAAGCTATATACAGCTTGACAACTCATGCTGCAACTTTATTGGTTGGTTGAAAAAATATATTTATTGGGGCAACGAGGCCTAGTAATCTGATATGAACATCATCTGATTGTTCAGATTTGAATACCTAAAGTCTTATGCTATGGGTTACCCGTAGGGTACAACTGTTAGAAGTAAGAGCTGGTTTTGTGTTGGATCTTGATGTGAATCCTTAAAATAACTTGCATGATAGTCTAATAACCTAATAGAGATCTATATATAGATGTAACTAAATCACCTCCTTTCTACACGTGATTATATTGCAAAAAATAAAAACAAACTAATACTTGCGGACAAGAAAAAAAACATGTAGGTTTTTATTTAATTTCAATGAATTTCACATATTGTTAGATAATATTGGATATTGGATAGCTAAAAGCCAAATTCAAGTTTGCAAGTTGTTTGTTTGAATCCTCAAAAAGGATCATTGATTCTTTTAGTAGGTATGAATTCACAAATGGTTCTCAAAAGCTTTTGGATCCAAATGGAATCCGTCCAGTTGCTATGCCTAGAGGTGTTACTACAACACTTGTCCTTCCATCTGCTTACTGTAATTCACAGCAGTAAATGACACTGAATTAATTCCTCATTCTCATGTGTAAAAGTTATTTGGAACAATTTACAGTAGGCACCTCTCATGCTAAGGCTAGTTGTATTGTCATTTGCTGTCACTCATGAGCTTTGGTACTTGAGTCGATGTCAGTCACACAATCAACAGCTCAAGAGAATATCACAGCTTCCACGACTTATCTGTAGCTGCTTGAGTGTCCACTAACTGAACGATCCTGTGTTGGTTGAACTTGGATTCACTAACTTGGTAATTTATTGCTGAATGGGGTAGGGCATAATTATGCAAGCAAAATTGAGTTTGTAATCAGAAAAATAACCAGTTAGGGTTTGAGGTTTGTCTGCCATTGACTATCTTTAGCAGTGCAGACTATAAAAAGAGATTTTCTTGTCAATTCTATAACTGCATTCATAGGATCAATGCAAAATGAATTGCTGCTTTCCATATATGAGCTAAATGTGGCATGCTATTAGACTGATACATTAATATTTTAATTTAATTTATAATATAGTTGTGGAAGAACTCCTAAATCTCCTTTATATTTTGCATCCATTTATTAGCTCCAAGTATTCACAACTCATATTGATGTTAACATAATTGTTGAAGGCAGTTTGGGATGGATTGACATAAGATTGTCTTTTGTGTTTTCTGTTTGTATTATTGATTCTGGTTTTTGTTCTTTTTCGTCATGATAAAGTTTGAACATATTATTAGACCATTGGAATTACAACCTGTTTCTCGTTTGAATTTTTTTGTTTGCCTTTAAACTCGTGTCAATTCATTTGAAGACTTCTGCAGTTTAGAATGCCATTTACCTCATTGTGTCGGGACCACAACATTATAATTTTGTTTCTTTTTTCTCTCTGGAAACTTATGCCGGATAAATATTTATTTTTAAGGTATGCTACCATGAATGTTGAAGAAGTCGAGAAGTTTCAGATACATGAGTCAACATTTGCTGGTGCAATACTCATGTCTAATCGTGAAACAAAACTAGAGTGTCTCCAAAGAAAACTTTTTGGACTTCCCTCATCAAAGTCTAAGTTCATAAAGCAAATCAAGACTGGAATGTTGTTGTTTCTATTTGAGCATGAAGAAAGAAAACTTTATGGGGTTTTTGAAGCAACTTCTGATGGTGCGTTGAATATTGAGCCTAATGCATTTCTTTCATCAGGAAAATTCTTCCCCGCTCAGGTATAAATTTGCATCTTCGCCTGTCAATTAACGCAGCTGAAAAGTTATTCAATTTTCTTATCTGTTAGTTTTTTACTTTAGTTTTTTTTGACAATATTGTAAGGTTTTTGTATCCAATATATAACATAGCTGCTATGCATAGTATTATTTTCAGCAAATACACTTCAATTGTCTTGGCAATAAATAATTTTAATTGTTAACATATTGTCTCTAGATAATTATTTCCATTTCTCCTACCAACATTAGTTCTTCGTAGGTTCTTTTCAAAAGGGTCTGGATGTGCAAGCCATTATCTGAAGACGAGTTTTATGATGCTATCAAAGATAACTATTATACGCAAAACAAGTTCCACTTTGGTTTGTCACATGACCAGGTTTGCCTCCTGCTTTTCTACTCATCTTTTGCAGCACCATCTGCATATGTTTTGCTTAACAGAAAATAAAACGATTTAACACCAGCCTTTAACCCCGAATGTTGCATTATTCTGGATCTCTTTTCCTGATATAGGTTTTCAAGCTCGTTCAATTCTTTCATGAAAAGAGAATAAATGTCAAGCAGTATCGTAAACCAGGAATACCTAATGAAATCATTAAGCATTTTGAGGAAAATCTTGAGTGTAAGTTTAGGGTAACTGGATGTGATGTGTCTCAGAAGCTTGAATCAGATGAATATAGCGGGGATGATGGTAGAGATTCTCAAAGTTATCTTGGGTTATCCGGATCCAATACCAATAGGTCAAAGTCCTCTCAGAAATTAACTAGAAAACAGCTTTCTTTCGTTGATGATGGACGCGGATTATACCAAATGGATCCTGCCATTGGAGCAAAATCACACGGTTGGTCACATTATGAATCAAAGCCATCCTACTTGAAGCGTTCAACTTCTCCAAATGATCCTCGTAGTAGTAATAACTTTGCTAAATGTCTGATGTATGACCATCGTGATTATCATGGTCCTCAAGGTTCTGGACGTGAAATTACCTATTCTACACTAGGCATCGACAAGTCACTCTTGCCTCAAGAGCCTATTAGTGATGTAAACTCTACTATGGATATGCAATCTCATCAATTTAATAGTCAATTGCCTTCAACACATTTAGGTCCTAGTCCCTTGTATCTCCGTCCTCCGAATTTGATGGGATCATCTTTTCCAATTTGTAATCCCCCTAATGCCAGTTTATCTTGTGTACATTCTGAAGGTCTTTTCAATTTCCATGACTACAAGCATGTATCCCACAGTGAACGATATGACCCTTCCAACCCTAGGATTTCATTTCCTTCAGGAATTCTTATGTCAAAAGGAAATGAAATGTTGTCATCAGTGCATCCAACCAATTCTCATGGTTACACTGAAGCATCGGGAGAGGAATTTGAGCTTGGAGGACAATCTTGTGGCAATGTAAATTCTCCTGACTACATTCCTTTTCCAGTCTCCAATTGTTTCAATAAGAATTTGGCGTCTTCCTACTCAAACAGTTCCTGGAAGGATACATCTAATATATATTCTTCAGAATCCACGGAAGATGATGACTCAGAAGGGATTAAACCTTATCTAGCATCTCGCGGTGAAGCACGTTATCCAAAATTCAAAAAGTCCAGGCTCCGGTCAGACACTGAGCAAAGTAGAACCAGCGTGTTTTCTCGCTTGACTAAGGTTTCGGATACCCGTCGTCTGTCTGGGTTCCACTTGTCAAAGGCTCCACAAGCCCGCCATTTATCCAAGCGTCAGAAAGCATTTAAGTATGGAACTCAGGAGCCAGTGGTGAGTCCCTCACAAGATTATCATGCAACAAGTTTATCCCAGAGGGAAGAGCAATTAATTGAGGTGACAGAAGTATCCAAACAACGCGACAAATTTGACGATGATGAAATGTTTGCCCCCCCAGCTGCTAGGGAAGGAAACATGAGAACTTCTGGGAAATTAGAAATCAGCAATGATGAAATCAATGAAGAGGCGATCACTGAAAATGAAATTGAGAAAAGTGAACATTTGTTTTTGAATTTTAAGCGCAGGAGTGAAATTCGAAGGCTGTCTTGTGAAAATAGATCTAATCGTTTTTCCGACGATGGTCTGGATGAGGAAACTCCACAAAAGTGCAAGAGAAGAAAGCTGTTACGACCTTCCTTCAGTCAGGAAGAGCACCAAGATTTTCAAGCCGCTACTCGAGAAACTGTTGGATTTAAGACGGTGATTGAAAATAGTGAATTATCTCCTCTGAACCATTTACATACCAAAAACAAAAAAAGTCCAGCTTCTGTAACTGATGTTCATGATGTTGAAGTCGCATTAGAGAAAAGGGATTACACTTCTGAAGCCTCAAGGGCTACACAAGTAGATTCTGAGAAGAAAAAGCGTGCAGCTGCTGAAGGGTTTCTTGGTGATGGCATATCAGATAAAATGGATAAAGCTTCTGAAGTCCAAAGGAACACCCAATTTGATGTCGAGAACAAAAAACATCCAGCTTCTGTAATTGATCTTAATGTTGTTGCATCAGAGAAAAGGTATAAAAGTTCTGAAGCCTTAAGGACTACTCAATTAATTGCTGAGAAGAAAAACCATGCAGCTGCTGAAGGTGGTCTTGGTGATCTTGCATCAGATAAAACAGATATAACTTCTGAAACCTTTAGGAGTACCAAATTAGACGTTGACTACAAAAACCATCCAGCTGCAGAAGGTGGTTTTGGTGATGTTGCATCAGACAAAACTTCTGAAGCCTTAAGGAATACCCATTTCGATGCTGAGAAAAAAAACTATACAACTGCTGAAGGTGGTCTTGGTAATGTTGTTTCTTATAAAAAAGAAAATTGTTCTGAAAGCTTAACGGCTCACAAGAAAGAAGTCTCTAATAGAAATCTACGGTGGTTTTTGAAAAAATCTGTTGGCGGCAGTTCGAAAGAGTCAAATGGAAGGCAAGTAAATGAGAAGATAAAAGATGAAAATCACACGGTTACTGAAGCTCCCGACTTGCTGGCTGATAGCAAGCACGGAGATTAAGAAACTAAAGCTATCCGGAAAGAAACTTTTGTTGTCCTACATTAATGAACTGCTGCTTTTTGGAAACTTTTGCTACTGCTGAAACTGGGTTAGATTACTCAAGCAATAGTATTATGCCACCCATAATATTAGCTTACACTATATTTCTCAGCCAGTCCATTATCTCAAACAACACGCATCAGGATAGTTTGATCTTTTCACTCTTTACAGCTAAACACATGCTCATTGATCAATCATTTTGGTGGCTTGTCGGATATCGAGCT